GTCGCCACACCAATTGTCATTCGTGACATATTTCAAATCATGAGGCGACGAAAACTGAAGCAAACTAAACGTTATGGGGCGAACTTGGGCCCAAACAAAACAGAGAAAAGCTAGCGTCGCAGGCGTCGATGGCGGCAAAACAGGGGGATCGAACGCTGGGGCGAGACTGACCCCGGCTCGCCACGCGGAGCCCCTTTACTACACGACCGAACTTCTGGAAAAATCGGAATAGAAGATTCGGCGCGTACAATATCTGACCTCAAACAAGAAGCGCATTTCTAGAATGTACGAAAACGCGACAGTAAAAAAACAACGAAAAGGTGCCTCCGCTACAAGGCATCGAACCTCGGCCCTTTGCGTGGGAGCCAAACACGATAACCGTTCGGACAGGGGCGCGCTGCCTACTTGGCCGGCTGCGCGCTCGGCAATATAGACAAACATTGGGCAAAGAAAGGACGTCAAAGCACTGCACAAAGCTCAGCGCTCGAGCCTGGAGACGCCGGAGCGCGAGCACTTTACAAAATACATGGAAAACGATGAGGAAGGAAATGGCCGAGTGGTCGTCAGTTGTTCTAAATGTCCTCCATGTTTTTCTTGTTTTGTTCTTTTTTAAATTCTTGGATGAACTCTACGTCGTTGCTGCTGAACGCGCGGTAATGGTGAACCTCAATCGTTTTTCAGGAACCTACACCCACACCATCGATACCACTGATCTTTATGACAATTAATTCGCTTGAACGCGCTTGCACGCGATTGTGGCCACCGGTCGGCTTTGTCTGGGGTGTACCAGCATGGTCATCGCAAACTCTGTGGAGGCTGCTTGTACTGCCCTCCTCCAGTGCTACGCGCATAAAGTTATTACAATAAACGGTAGAGGCTCAGGTGGCGCTAGTGTGCTGTTGCATTTTAAAGAAGACAGAAAACATGTCTAAATTTGACTTCCGGTAATGCATTCCATGGGAAAACGCAAATGTGTTTTCTATTCGCGCGCGATTATAACAGCAAATTTTGCTTCGTGTTGAGACAAAATGAAACGTTTCGAACGTTCTTTGTAATCGGATGTACAAAGAAATGTGCTAGAGCGTTTTTCTGTAGCAACACGTGTATAATACGTGTTGACGTTGCAGACTACAATTATAAAGCACGTATTTACGCATACAGTCAATGCTATGAAGCACACAGAGTGAATTCGCTTGACACAACACCAAAAGGATGCTAATATACGCGAAATCAAACAATAAAAACAGGCAACAAGAACGAAGCATGGAGTTATGGAACAAAGAACACGTACTGGATTAGTAACAAACTGTGCATTAGTAACAAACTGCGTTTCCGTCATCTCAATGCTACTACAGCTTGAATAAACCCTAATCATTTTTAATAGTTATTTTAGAGCGCAGCTTTTAGGCGCCCGTTTGTGAGTTGAGTGGTGCCAGCGTCGGCGAAACCGCGCGTTGCATTATGCGACGTGTAACGCCACACGTGACGTCACAAGGCTTACCCTCTTGAGGGTAACCCCCATGAGGGCAACCCCGCGTAACCCTCACGGGGGTTACCCTTACGATCGGGTAACCCTCACGAGGATTACCCTCACGGGGGGTTACCGTCACAAGGGTTACCTTTGCGAGGGTAACCCTCATGAGGGTAACTCTCACGAGGGTAACCCTCACGGGCGTTAGTCTCGTGAAGGTAATCCTCACAGAGGTTACCCTCATGGGGTTTACCCTTACGACGGAAACCCTCACAGGGGGTAACCCTTACGTGTGGTTCCCCCTGAGTGTTACTCTCGTGAGGGTCGCGGGAGTAACGTCAAAACGTTACCGTCGTGACGCCACGTGTGACGTCATTATGGGATACACGTGACGTGTGACGTCACGTGTTACGTCACGGGACATATGACGTCACTTGTGACGTCACCTGGCGTCACACGCATCTAACACTTCCAATATTCTCGCTAAATTTAGCGGGGAAGGAGAAGGCGCATACCCTTCCCTCCGTACCCTCCCCTCCTCCTCCTTGAGAGCTGTGCTCCAATTCGGCGTTAGAGAGAGCTCTAAAGTCTTTCATATTTTTTTGCTTGAATTGATAGCTTGTATTAATATATGACGCTGTACAACATAGACCAGGGCCTAAACTTTTGCTAAACTAAACATCACTCAGTAATTAAAAAAAAAAACACTAACTAAATAAATTACACTTTTACAATGTGAATAAAGCTACATAGTACATAGTACCCGTTTCGCGTAAAGAAACTACGCTGATTTCTATTATTCCCTGGCGAAGAGGAAAATATCTTGTAAGGTTTTCTTATAGGAATACGCAGGAAGACTGGAAAAGTAGACTATTTGCTGTCTGCTTCAATTTGCAACCAGAAGTCTCGTAGACACTAGCGTTTGCTGAGTCTCTAGCATTCATTGTAAGAACCCTATGTATGACTGCGCGTCACCAATTCTATCTTTTATAACACTCGCCGCAATGTCTCGTCGGCCTTGTTGATATGCCCATAAACATGACTCACCTGTGGTCGCATTTCCAGGGCGGTAAGCGCGATCCAGCTAATGGTTGTAAAAACCAGTAATCTAGACTGTCATTCCTCGCAGACAATAAAATATTATTCATTCTGAGCTTGCGCTGTTAGCGGAGCGCGTAAATAATGCCTTCAGTAACCTCATGTAAATGCCATATATTAAGCTAAGCATTTGACTTACTTTTCTTTGGAATGCAGTATCTTTATTTGCCAGATATCTAGTTTTCAAAGTAATAACAATGTAATGTGTGCTCATTGGTTCCTTGAAAGTGGAGACACAAAAAAAAAATTAATACTTCTGACCAGGCACTCAGCGACGAGCTTGATAATTTGAAGTACGTGCCAGGCTTTATGGAAGCCTCTGGTTCCGAAATACGCGAGGCCAGCGGGCTCGCCGTCAGAGTGGGCTTCTGTTGCTGACGGGTGCTACAGGTTGTGGAATTTTTCAAACTGAGTTGGCGCCATGGACGAAAGCACATTACCATCGAGTGCCCGCTGCTCAACGGATCAACACATTTCAAGTACAAGCACATATTCAGCAAAGTAAATTGGCTCATGCTATCTCCACGCAATTAATTGAATATTTTTTTTAAGTAGTGCACTCAGAAAAGTGTTAAAATTGTAAGACGTGTATCGGAAAATTAAAATAGAGACAGGAAAGTCACGCAGCAACCTCTTGGTTTTAATGCCTACGCGCATTTTATATACATACATGACCAACTCCATCACGCTTGTCTGAATAAGTTTGGAAGTGCAATATATGAAAATATTTGCAGCAGATTCAAATTACTTTGCCTGTTTCCAATCTCCACAGCTGGTTTATAAAGCTCTGCTATGAACTACTTGGTTGGCCAGCACACTCACTAATACATAATTGTAAGAAATCTTTTAGGTCCTAATTGCTGTCGTTGACGCCCGGTACCACTTTCCTTTAGTGGACATTGGCCGTCCTGGCAGGGAAAGTGATGGCGGCATTTCAACTAGGAACGGATCCGACTGAGCCTGGAAAAGGCCCTTTGGGCTTTCGTTCATCGTCATCGTCGGAGATGAGCCCTTTCCTATGAAAAAGTATCTAATAAAACCACACTGCACTAGTAGACATAAAAAAAAGGCCAACATGATGAAGGCAGGGGAGAAGCGTCCAAGAGGAGTGTATTTAACTATAAACTGTCCTGAACACGAACGGTCTCAGAAAACGCATTTGAAATCCTTTCAAACCGGTGGAGACGTTTGAGAGGAACTTTCAAAACGTCTTAAAAGAACACTGTAGCCTACATAGGCGCCTGTGTTGCCCTTCACATTTTTCTGCTTTCTGAGATCCACAGCCGAAGCACCTACTGCCATCCTGCACTACTTGACAGGTAAAATGACACGCAGTTGCTGAAGGACCAAGTCAAGCAGGAAACACCGAATCGCACACAGTGCTTAAAAACCTCCCTTGCTTGCCCAGCTCAGCCAAACATGACCGGCCAGCGGCTCAAGTTCGGAATTTTTTTTTAATTCCATTTTTGGGGTCAAGGTTCTCTCGAATGGCCAGACAAGACTGTCACACAAGCCAGCTAGATTTATTGCTGCACCATGTGTCCCTTTTCGTAGTCCAAGAGCCGCTGTTGCACGACGGACATCGCCCTTAAGGCCTGCAGCCTAGGCATTTCTCTCACTTGCACCGCTACCATCATGCCATATTAATAAAAGTCCTAATTTACGCGAGTCATCTGCTGCGCCAGCTTCACTTTTATACAGTACACAACGTCTTGACTTCGTCCTTGTCTGTAATATATATTCTGATAAGCGGGAGTGAGTTTTTTTTTTTTTTACATGTTATATTCTTACGCTTGATTATAACACGATGCAATTATAAAGTGAGAGCTTTTGTGTAGATACACAAAATAAAATAAAAACTGCCTTCTTTGGACTTCACCCTACACTTTGTAAAGTTCAATATTGGCGTTAAGAAAAAGGCAGGAAGGATCGGCGCACTCCTTTGATAACACAATCCTTGATTTCTTTTTTGATGTCATAAAACGCTTTCTGACTCGCTGATATACATGATTCAGGAAAGCTTCCTAGCCTGGCGGTTTTCATCGCGGATACGAAACAATTTGATTCGTTTCACAGCAGTAATTTTGCATATTAGACGACGGACGATCTGCTACGCCAATTACAACCTCAACAAGGAAAACAACTGCGACTGCTACGACTGCATCAACAAGGAACGTCATTTCCAGTGGTGGGAAGAGGACATAAAAGCTATCTCTGTAAAATATCAGAACTCAACGGCTTGCTTACGAAAACAAGCAATCTGCAGTAGTTATTCGGCAGTTCCGCAAGAAAGTGCGGAAGGTTTCCATCTGCTGGTCACAATCGAAATATACTAACGTCAACACTAGATAACACTCCTGCACTTGTCTTGATTTCACTGGTTCGTGTATATATAAAGCTCCACTGTTTGGCCGGGACTGCTGCAAGTTGGTAGGTAGTTTTGTTGCCGAGTGTTTTTTCTATACTTCGTGCTTGTTTTCGAGCACAATTGTAAAACATCTAAATAATAATACTAATGCTTGTATTCACAAAATAAGGATTGAAAGAAAAATATCTTGAATTATATTTGGTGAGATCGTTTTTCACAATTCGATTCATAGTGGCAAAATTGTGTGCGTTGAACATATATAATTTGTTAATTTTTGTTTCTTTCAGAGTGTCATACCACAATGGTTCTATTTACGAAGATCATTTTTCTTAGCCTTTTTCTGAAGGGTAAGCAAATAGTTTTATTCATTAGATATTCGGTATGAGTATACCAAACAATGTAACATTTAGACATCTGAAAACATTTTTGAGTGATCGGTGAATGAAATAGAGCTTCCTTCGAGCTGCTTCAAAGGTTCGGATAATTTAGTAATAATAAAACTTTTTTTTTATCTCAAATGAACGAAGCAGGTACATATATATTCTCAAAAACTTGGCGCGTGGTTCTTGTCCTGTTACAGTTGCGATGAGCTCATCAAAGTGAATAAACGTACAAGTAACGTACCTCACCAAACTAAAGCATAACCTGCTTTACATTTTTTTTCGTTTATTAGTAACACATGATTGAACAAAAGCTGGACTACGTTAACATCATCATCGAGATTCGACGCTAATTTTTACTCCGTCAATGTATATTCAAACGAAACGCTATTACCACGGTGTCACCTTCCGTAAATTTCAGAAATACACCAAGGGGGTAATTTAAATATTTTTCAAAGTCGCTAAACAAAAATGTTGCCACATACGGAAAAATCAAGTATGTCACATCTTACGTAAAGTTTGCGGTAAAATATAAAAAAGAATTACAATAAACTGCTAGATATTTAATTTTGCTCGTATATTTCCGCTGTAAAACGTTTTAAACGACCCAAGTGAGTCACAAGTACGTTTGGGCAAGGTGTAAGCCGAAGACCGCTAAGATACCAATGAAAACCTGCTCCCATCGCAGTCCAATCAACTGCAGCAAAAAAAAAAAAGAACATCTGCTATCAGAGATCTTAAGAAATGTCCCGGCGTAGGGAAGTGAACGTAACACAACAATGGCACACGGTAAAAATACAACGCAGCTGCACGTTATAATTATATCTCCTCAATTTCCAAAATATAAATCACGCAATCGTTTCATGACAGCATGATTTATCTAAGCGGCAAGATATATATCGGTCCGAGTTTCTTTATATAAGGGTCTACGGTAATTTGTGCCTCTGTCTAGGTCACTACTCAGTAAATAACAAAGCTCCTGGTCTACGAGCAACAAACATTTCGAAGCAGTCATATGACCTTTGTATATAGCTACTTTGTTTAAATATTCCTTCTCCCATAACAACATTAACGAATCGCGTAATCTCACTAACATATTTTTAACTTCAGCAGCACTGCCTATATTTAACGACGCTCTACTTGAAGTTTTCGTCTTGATTTGTCGTATTCATTGCACGCTTATGCTTCGTTTTTTTTATTTTTTTTATTGAGGGTTAAGTGTTTATAAATTGTTCCTTGTCGTTTATACGCCATGCTATAGTACACAAATAAAAAATAAATCATAAAGCACAAAAAATAGGTGGATCCTTCAGCTCATGCTTTTAATACGGGACTCATCGCGCTGGATGCCTCACGTGATAGAAACAATGGACGACGTTCAATATGAGAGACCGGCTTCCGAATCGACTAGCCTCCAAGTGGAGCAAAATGTACTTCATTTGTTGAACCAATTGTATATTCTGATTAAAGGGGTCATTCCGCAGAAACAATAAAGGCTTTTAATGCTTGTTCGATATTTAATTGCTCGTTAGAAAATATGTTTACAAATATATTTGTTTTATAAACCACTTTATGACTTTAGAGAAAAATTCGATTGAATCGCGGGACTCTCAGATTAGGAAAAGCGGCCACGTTTGTACATATCGGACATATGACCTACCAAGATATCTGTCAGTGTCCCTCGAGCTACAGCGTCACAGCTTGTGCAGTTCCCTCGAGTAGCCTTGCAGACTTGGTTTCCTCGGAGCCTCGGTTTCATACCTCCTACTCAATCGACTAAAAACGCCACGTTTAGTATAACTACAATTCCGCCATTTCGTTGTCTAAGCTCAAGCTCAAGAGAGGGAGTCAGTTGCATGGAGATTTGCCTAACATCTAAGCAAAGGATTTTCCGTCCTCCAAAAGTGTCAAAAACAGTCCGCGATTACAGCGAAACGATATTGCTCGAGCTTTCTGACATCGCATCAGAGCTCAGCAAGTCGAAATTTCTAATCGTGAATATCACCAACTGTGTGCCCTTCGAACAAGCCAAAAAAATGGCGGCGCCTACAAAACAATAATCTAGGAATGGAGTACGGATATTCTAAGCGTATGTAATTTTTGTTGTTATGCTCCCACCCGAGTCTTTCGCTCCACTTTCATGCGGCATTTGGAGAGAATTAGTTGTGGGGTATCGCGCGTTTCGTTGGAACCTTCCTTAGTTTCACGCGACTTAGCCGTGTCCGAAACTTTTCCCGGTGATGTGAGTAACTGATAAGGACGACGAGAGGCGAGCTGCGAGCGTATGTAGAGAAGCTAAAACCAGAGAGTGGTCACCTGCTTCTTTGCAATTACGTGGTTCATGGGCATCATTTGCTTTTGTTCGTATTACGACTACCTACAGGAAAAGAAAGGCAGAGCCTCTCTTTTGGATACCTGGCTTAGAGTACGTGCTTGTTGCCTTGCGCCTTTTTTTTTTAAGCGCATGCAAGACCAAATTGTACTGGACGCCCAAGTGTTATTCAATGTGTATACATACACGCACATGTTAACGTCGTACAGCATTTAGGGGAAATTGACTGCGTCGATTAATGCTTCATTTGTAGCAGAAACCACTACGTTAGTTGTCTACAATACGCGATGTATCATATGTGAACGATCAAGACGTCACCTACAAGGAGGCAGTTTCGCAGAAGCGCCGTTGTCGATGGGCTTCCCGCATGTGTTGCAGTCGCCGTTTCTTCTCATCGTCCACCTTCGTTGCATACACTGATTTTTATGAAAACTGCTGGATCGCGCATCTCCATTTGGTCACAGCATCCTGAGGTTGACCACAAGATGGCCATTTCGCATCTCGAAATTACGCGTCTTTGAAGCGTTTCTGAGGCTGGCGACAGTGTGCTGAAGCCATGTTTTTTACTCGTTCGTCGTCATTCATCTGAGAAGTTATTTTAAGCCCTGTGTTAGCCGTGAGACTTGCTGTTAAGAACACCTAGAAATTTTTACGGTAGCGCAGTGCCGCCGGAACGAAGGCAAAACTCGCTGAAAGCAAGTTCCATCAATCTCGCGGCGTGATTAAAGCTTTCTTGGCACGCCTAATGGCTGCGTCTCTGCATCTCCTCACCAGTGGCGTAGCCAGGAATGTTTTTCGGGAGGGGCTGAGGTTGGCCAGGATGTCGACGACTTGGGGTGCGGAGACGGAGAGGGAGTCAAAATGCATGTGTATATTAAAGGGTCGGCTAAGCTTCGAGGGGGGGGGGGGGGGGGTGGGGAGAGGGGCTAAAGCCCCCTCCCCCCTACCTGTGTACGCCCCTGCTTCGCACCCTTGGATACCAATCAAGAATCGACGCCGTGCGAATGTGTTTTGCGAGACAACGTGCGTGAAGCCGTTTGTGGCTTTGGAGCAGCGTTTTACTTCACTCCGGCGACTGTTTTTGTAACTTGCGGCACTCGCAGTTCAGAAACGAGCTTGGTCCAGCGTCCAGTGACGACGGAAGAGAAAGGGAAGGTACGCATTTTTTTCGTCGTTGTATGGCTTTCGGAATACCGCGAAAAACCGCCCATCATTGATCACTTCTGGCTCATTATCAACCTACTTAATTGCACTTGACACCTGAGCGCGGCTCGCCCAATTGTGATTGATCAACAAATTGCACTCCACCACATGGGTCACGCTTCAAACATTTCCATTCTCGCCGTCTTGTAGTTTCGCCTTCGTAAATACTTCTTGCCCCACAGCGTTGCTCTATTAGTGCTGCCATGTGATCCCTTAGAGTAGATTTGGAACATAGCCATGGTTAACACTGCATAAGAGCAGCCATACAGATTATTTTCCCGCCTTTATTGATAGCAACTCGCAGGAACAGCTGGATGATTCAGAACTCCGCGGCCGATATATGATGCAAAGACATCTACGCGCGACACATCTTCAAAACTTTGCAGCGGCGCCGATTCTTGATCGGTATCGAAGCGTGCGAAGGCACAGACACGCAGCGTTTCGGCGTGCCTAGGAAGGTTTGATCACGCCGCGAGAAAGACGGAACTTCCATTCGACGAGTTGGGCCTAAATATTCCGCAAATATTTCTACGAGTTTTCAACAGAAAGTCTCACGGCTTACACAGGGTTTTGAATAACTTCTTGAGCAAATGAGGACGAACGAGTACAAAGCATGTATTTAGCACGCTGCCGTCAGCCTCCGCAACGCTCCAAAAACAAGATTTTTCAAGATGCAAGATGGCCATCCGGTGGCCGCACTAGCGGAGCGGGGATGCGCGGTCCAGCGATTGTCATAGAGATCATTGGTTGCGTATCGGGGTCGCTGGGCAGCTGCACGACGCCGTTGCCTCTCAAGGAACTCTTCTTCTGCAGGTAGTGGTCGGTTGCGAGGTCCCGTCTCATCTGACACGACGAGTGCCTCAATATTGGGTTTTATAAATGGTTTACGACGCAATCATTGACTTCACTGCGACTGTAGCGCGCTACTTGGAATTTTTTTTCTTTTTACAGCGGAGCTGTCAAGGGCGTGTTTCCCCAGGATCGTGTCCCCCGCAAAGAAATGTAGACACAAAACTCTGTTTCCGCCGTCGCTCATAGATGGCGGTAGCTGTCCAGAGTGTTGTGTTTGACGGTTATTCGCTTGCCGCCGCCGCTCATAGATGGCGCAACCTTTCGAGCCTTTCCACTCTGGCCTGCCGACTTGCGGCCGTCCATTACTTCATTCCCGCCATAGTACAGCTTCGCTGGTCTTCCCTCTTCACCTAAGTGGAAAGGCTAAACGTTTTTAGTGATTGCTTTATAGCCTGGATGCGAATATGAGAGTGCGTACTGCCGCTTCCTATGCGTGGCTCGTGTTGAGCTCCTTATTTCGTGGCGATAGGCTCCCTATTTTGTGGCAGATAGGTTGCGAGAGAGGCAGCTAATGGATACTTTGCATTAAAAGGAGGAGGGAGCATGCCGGTATGGCTTCTGCTCCCACAGACCGCGCTAG